TTAACATGAAGAATACATCATTCAGATGAGGGCAGGTTGAACTGGACCCGGAGCTGGAGCGTATGGGAGCATCTGTTACGGCTGTGGTTCACACCAATCAGCCTTATCGTTCGCATCTAGAGCAAGTAGGAGTCTCGAAGTTAGAATGAGTGAATCAGTGAGTATCCAGATACGGGAGATACCATCTGGAGATGATGTACCAGCACTCGTGGTCGCCTTCCTTGACGACGACGCAGCCTTGGCGACTTTCAGTCAGTTCGAGGCTGACCAAATCGATCGACATTTACCCAAGGCGAAGACTAGGCTCATTCTCTCTCTGTCACAGTCCAAGGGTAACTAAGCTCTTGATAAGTAACGATTCGGTCGGAGCAATCCAGGACCGAGTGAGTTGAAAGCCAATCTCGTGTTGAAAGGCATAGACTGGCAGGATGAATGTGCTGACTTGCCAGCCACGGCAATCGAGGCTATTCTGGCGGTAGATATTGCGCGTCGGAAGAAGTGAGAATGTCAGACATGTACCGCGATGGGTTCATCTGTTGCGTGTCACAGACCTCCAAGCCAATTCAAATCCCGAGTTCAAACATCCGTTAGTAGTTCGGTCGACGCATCGCGGACTGGTGCATCGGGAGACATCGTGTGGATCGTAGTGACACCTGCAGAGACGTAGCGTTACAGCGTTAGGTGGTCTCAGGCCATGTTACAGCAGATTCCCGGGGTGGGTGCTGATATGGCAGCAGCAATAGCGAGCAGGTCATATGTGTGACCTGTTATAAATTTTGAGCCTCAAATAGATACCCCACTTTACCGAGCTTGCTAGAGGCATTGAGCAACGGGGCGAGCCAGGTCGAGAACACCATTGCTATGCTTGAGCTAAAGGTGATACGATCAGGATAGTCAGGTCACTTCGTGCTCATTCATGTCGAAGCCATGCGTTATCGTATTATTCTTCAATGGTCTCGTGGCCTAATGGATAAGGCGTTGGTCTTCGGAACCAAAGATTGTGGGTTCGAGTCCCACCGAGATCGTTTTTCTTTTTTCAGGTTCGATCCAAGCAAGGCGTTCGAAAGATCGGGCCCGCCGTCGCCTCCCGCATAAGTCGTGTATTCACTGCAACTTCTCATGAAACATTAGTCAATTAAGTTTCGTTCCTCCCAGGATGATGCCTTGCGTTCGGAATTTTGAATTATTTCGAGCTCGACGCCCTTCTAGCTCCCCAGGAGACGCTCGTCGAACCACGCTTGTTGAACAAGCCTTGTTCACCTTATCCCACCCAGTCTCTATCGTGGTTGAGTCACCCAGGTTAATTGCATGCTGCCTGATCTGGCATCGCTGACATAGTTTAGCCATTGTTTCGGCTCTAGTCTACTTTTTACCTCTGTTTACAAGATCACAGCAAGCCAGCGCCAAGTTTATGCACTCCCAATTATTCTCACTTGTTCCGTATGTATCTGGGCTAGGATATATCACACCCCGTGCTCGTCGGAAACACAGCGGGAATCCTCTCGAGTTTCAGAAGTTAGTGTGGACTTCTCTCTGGCCCTGATCATGTGGGATATTGAGCTTATCTAGTATGCAATTAACTGGATCTATCGGGGCGTAGCACTCCGTGATTATAATCCTTAGACTCAGAACAGTCTGTTGCAGCGATAGTTCTTATTCGCCAGCCACCATGTCTGCAGAGCTGATGAATACCCATCTCGAACAAGCCGATCCCAAGGCCAGTGGTTCGTTTCTGCGGATGACTGCTGAGTTTGCCTGTAGGTTTTCGATATCATCGAACATGAGAAGGAGCGTCAACGTACCAATGTTTGCCTGATAGCATCAGAGAACTTCACCAGCCAGGCGGTAAAGGCCTCTCCCATTACTACGTCTGTTATACTATTGGCAGGTTCTTGATGCAATCGGATCTGTCATGACAAATAAATATTCGGAGGGTTATCCTGGGGCTAGGTGGGCATCAACGCGATTCTGGTCATGAGAATTTCGTTGGCAGATACTATGGGGGCAACGAGTTTATCGACCAGATGGAGACTCTATGCATGGACCGTGCTTTGGAGACCTTTCGTCTTGACCCCATAAAATGGGGTGTCAACGTACAGACTTTGAGCGGTGAGTGGAGCCTTTTACTTGGGTTGAGTATGCGTCTACCAATTCAGGTTCACCCGCCAATCTGGCGTTGTACACCGCCTTGCTGGATGTCCATGATCGCATTATGGCGTTGGACTTACCTCATGGTGGCCATCTCAGTCACGGCTATCAGACTGATACGAAGAAGGTTTCAATGATATCCAAATTTTATACATCCATGCCGTAATGCCTCCTGAGACGTGTGAGCGAGATTTGGACTCTGGCAGATACCGTCTGAATGAGAAGACTGGTCTCATCGACTACGACGAATTGGAAAAATTTGCACAGCGTTTTAGGCCTAAGCTTCTTATCTGTGGCTATTCCGCGTAGTGAATCCAAAGCCCGATATGAGTCTTCACCGTGACGCAGGTACCCTCGTCATTTCGACTTTGCCCGTCTCAGAGCTATCGCGGACTCAGTCGGCGCGATACTGCATTGTGATATGGCACATGTGGCAGGTTTGGTGGCAGCTGGGGTCCACCCATCTCCTTTTGTAAGCTCTCATTATACGTTACGTAGGCTTATTATGTGCACTTGACAGGAACTGTGCGATGTTGTTACTACTACTAGCCATAAGACCCTCAGAGGACCGCGTGGGGCGATGATTTTCTACCGTGTGGGCCAGAAGGGTAGCAAGAGCATGAGTAGGGTTCATCGTGACAGAGGATGAGCTCATGTGTTGATAAGAATGGCAACCCTATTATGTATGACTATAAGGAAAAAATCAACGCTACGGTGTTCCCGGGGTTGCAAGTAATTTGCCGTACCTCAATCCTGCTAGTGTTATATAGGGCGGACCCCATAACCATATCATTGCCGGACTGGCTGTGGCATTGAAACAGGCTCAAACTGAGGAATACAGGCACTACCAGGAACAGGTATATACTTCCATGCCACGCCGCACTGTATCGGTTTCAGTACAGGTAGTGAAGAACTCGAAAGCCTTGGCGGAAGAACTGATGAAATTAGGATACGATCTAGTCTCGGGAGGTAGTAACAATATCCCTCATACATCATCCAATAGTATGTGCCTTGTTAACCAGGCACGGACAACCATCTAGTTCTTCTGGACTTGCGCAGTAAGGGCATCAACGGTAACAAGACCGAGAAGCTATGCGACCATGTTGCGATTTCTCTCAATAAGAATACAGTATGTTCATAGGAGACCAGGACTGTGTTCGTAAGGCTCTCCAGGTTCCCGGGGATAAATCGGCTATCACTCCCTCGGGACTGAGGATCGGGGCTCCCGCCATGACCACTCGCGGTGCTAATGAAGACGACTTCCGCAAGATTGCCCAATTCATCCACCGTGTCGTGGAAATAGGTTTGCAGGTTATCGGTTATTTCGCACATGCTATACCCCACGTTTAGCTATTAGTAGGTCCAGAAACAGTCCGGACCGAAGCTCAAGGACTTTCTAGCTATTTTGGATAACTCTCCTCCGCCTGAGCTCGCTCAGCTGCGCGACGAGGTCATGACTTTCAGCCGTGGATTCGTCCCGATCGGTCAATGAAGTGTGGAATGGGAGTTTTTCTGACTCTGGGATGGTGTCTGGGTTATGGATCTTTTGAATGTTTCATGAAGTCAAGACAAATGATTGGTTCTTGCGTTGTAGTCTTCTTTAGTGCCATAAGGTCGCCTGAGGTAAGGCCATAAGGCCATAAGGTACTAATTGAAGAATTCGCATATTGTGGCAGGAGTAGGGCCCCTGCTCCTGCCACGGTAGTGGCACCCCGGCTTGTATGCGCTGAACAACATTTATGATATAAAGCTCGGCTGTTGGCATCAACCACAGTGTTCATACTATTAAGACTCGTATCCGACCATATTATACTACTGATGATACTGTTTGATTATAATGTTGAAGATCAAGGACGAAGGGGGGCCTCGAGTCCCATAAGGAAAATTCTCAGAAGTTCTCTCTGTTACCTTTCATCCTATCTGTGTCGTAACGCGAGTAACTGGACCTTGGGCAGAACACAACAGGACAGTCTGTAAGGAGCCTGGAAACTCAAGGGTATTATTAGAACCTTTAAAGCCATGTCCTATCGATCAGCTGGACGCTTACAGCATATTTCAACCAGGACACAGAGGTAGAGTCGGAATCGAGAAAAAGATGAACGGAGCGAAGATGATGAAGTGATAACGACCAGGTCGTCAAGGTTCCGGGCAATGACTGGTTGTGAATCGTCATTGAATGAAAGCGAACCAATGTTCGCTACTCATGCGAAACGCCTCTGAACTCCTCATTCGTTAACCTGAACATGCTTGCGTATTCCGTATTCCAAAATATACAAGAATCACTCACGGAGAACGCCATGACTTACCGTCTGGACACCAACAAAATGGAAGACTAGCCCTCGGTGCACATTGGCAGCTGTAGGGGCATTCCTTGCACATGTGATGAAGCAAAACTCTCGGCTGTGAAATCTGCTCCAGCCTTCTTTCAGTATCATCGTTCACTGCATGGGAAAGCATGGTCAAAGCAGTAATGATCAACACGACGTGGAAGACGCTTTTCATATGTAGCAGAAGCTAAATATAGTGCCTGAGGCTCGCACTGGTCCACTTAACAACTGAAGGAATGATAGGAGTGCACTATGCAACACTCAGTGTAGCGCTTTCGTGATCCAGCCAATCACCACTGGTGAACAAGCCAACACTAGGGACTAAATGATATCGAAGTTCAATACTGATACTATCCAATGAAGAGATCCCAGAAGTCCTCTTCATTCCGGAGTCCATCTGCCTCACCAAGATCGATCAACTCGCCTACTTCACGTGAAACGCTACGAATGAACAAGATTCCGCACAACCAGCTCTGTATCCCAAGTAGACCTGCTGCCAGAAAAATAAGGGAATCGGCCTCAGTCGGGAAATTTCAGTTGCTCACCAAGGACATAACTTCCTGTTAGTCGCAGTTCACTTGATTTCTCGAGAATCGCCTTCATGAAGCCACTGGTAGAGCCGCTGAGGAAAAGTGTTGCATCAAAGACTACGTTCAGGTGGTGTTGGATCCAAACTTCGGATTCCGAATAATATTATCTTCAACGTGACTAAATTAGACAATGCAATTGTCACACTGCGCGGGTCTGCGTTGCACTCTGACGATTAGCGCGGTCGACTCGCCCTAGTCTGATTTTATTTTTTCTCCTTCAAAACTGTGATCCAACAAGATGTCTTGAACATATGGTCTTAAACTCCTCAAGCCAGAGATGGACATATGTCTAGTGTGTAATACACACTGTGTATATCTGCCCATGATCTGTTTCGAAACGTATTCACTTCCATTCTTCAGCACCTCGTTGTGCTGAAGACTTGAAGTTGGTCGAATTAGAGTACCACTGTGACAGTTTCAGTGTAGTCCTTCGATCTTGGCAAAGCCAGCATATGCACCAATGACAACCCAGCAAACGAGGCCCCCACCAAGCCCGGCATGCACCATGAAGTTGCTGGTTATTTGAGAGATTCCCTCCTGGATTAAACGTGGCACTGTCGGCGAGCTCTCCGGGTCTACATAACACTGGATAGCTTTGATTCGAGCATGATGACTTCTGCTCGAATTAGACTCTAAATTTTAGAGTAGTCAAGTGATGAAGCTTACATTAGAATGTCATTCATGACAGTATTCAGCCAGGACTTGGCTGGCAGGTTCAAATGTATACCCATGGTTCGAAGCTCCTTTGTACACTCATTAGCATGATCATGCTAAGAGCGTATATCTCCTAACCAACAGGATTCGAGAGGGTGGGAGAAGAAATAACGATCTTCCTTCGAGGGTGCCACAAGGGTGTCATTAGCTATAGCTTTCTTAATTGTGGCCGTATCGCTCTGTCAATCTGTTCTGAGGCGATTCGCTAGGGCGCAGGATCACTTTACTCACGCACACCAACTCTTCAAGAGTTACTTTCGGTGGGAACATCATATGGTCGACATTCTTCATAACGAGACTCCGTGAACCGATCTCTAACACAGCCTGGAAGAGGCAATCGACGCGTCATAGCATCGGGGTCCAATGAGTGTTCACGAAGGGAATACCGAGTGGTCCCATTTTGTGTCACGAAATTCGTGATGGTACTGTGGAGTCCATAGTATGGACATCTTCATCTTATACGAGCCTCAGCTCACGACGACTCCATCACCTTGGCGATTCCCATGCAATTGACAGCTTGACGTGATGATCATGCAGAAACGGTCAGCATGGCAACCACGCATCATCATCGTGTTCATCTTCATCATTGTCAGTTTCACAGTCGCTAACATTGTCTGGTAAATCTGGTCCGACCACTTTCGCCAAGAAGCCGTCGTCTTGTTTTGGGTCATAGAATCGATATCTGACAATGTAACGAGAACGAAATAATAAACAGTAGATTGCACTCAACCCTTCCTCTGCGAAGCTCGGCACGAAATTCTCCTGAGGTAGCTGCGCCGGAGCTGTGGCAAAGTTGACGAAATAGATTCCTTTGCTGTGGAACGCTCGCAGTAACCTGAGGTGTTCGCGATGACTATTAATAGTGGAGATCATACCCTTCTTGTTCGAGTGGTAAGCCAAAGATTCCATTCATGACTATGAGCAAACAATCGAATGACGATAAATGAAATCAGTGAAGTCGCATCATAATGTATCGCTCACGGAACAGAGAAATTCGAGCGAGATATATGCGTGTGTGCCATAGTGAGATAGCGGTATACTCTAAGAAAACCACATAATGTAGTATTGACACGCTCGAGGTTTCTTGAGTTCTCTAGAGAGTACCTCTCGAAATGATGATAGTCCATACGTCTTGCCTTCTTAAATGTCAGATTGCACTGGTCGAGGGCTTCAAGACAATAGTCGCGGAAACACAAGGTGGATGTCGGCTGAGTCGGTAAACCTTTCGAATTAGTCACGGACACGGCCATTCTCACTATGCGGTTGATGGAGCACCACATCTTATAATTATGTTCTAGCATATTGAGTACGGTGAGGCGCTTGAACATCTTGAAGACATCTTGGTTTTTACGGAAGAACGCTATCCGGATCATAGCGTCCCACTCCTGACAACGCAGGTCCCGGGTTCGATTCCGACTCACTGCACTTCTTACTGCAAAATCGACCTTCGGCGCCGGAACACGTGGTGTGAGCCGAATTATCACTGAAGTAGTCTGCGGCTGCGGGAAAAATGCTCGGCCCGGTACCTGAGGATCAAGTGAGTCAAACAATGATTCGCAAGGTTTGCCGAACTTGGCACTGCCAAGACAAGGCAACACTGGGGTCTATACACAGAACGACTGACACTCTCGACGGGGCATATCTCAACTCCCAAGTAGAAAGCCCCTCGAGTCCAGTTCAGGACGCACAACATTCACTGAGGAAAAGAACGCCGCGAGATTGAGAGTGACAGTCGAACAAACGATTTCAAGAAGCATGATAGTATTCTCAATGGTTGGTTACCTTGCATATCCGTTCTGCTTTGAAGAACATCCGCATGTTTAGCGACAATCGAGAGTATATCTTCTCTCCAGGGTCCGCTAGGAGCTTCTTTCCAAATTCATGCCTGATACCAAAGCTGGCCAATACTGTACGTAAGCCGACTTACTGCAGCATAATGATACCAGTCCGGAACGGATGGCCCATCAGCTTCAAAAGGAATCCCGTTGCCAAGTGGTATCTACAATAGCCCATTCTACATTCAACTCACCCTCGAGAAGGCTGCCCCGTCAAGCGCAATCTCGAGCTGGTGTACACATGGAGGTGAGTCAGGCCCGGTTGATCGAACAGTTGAAGTCCAGTTGATGGGAACCCGCGAATGATTCTTAGAGTCAATTGCCAGGGAGAGAGTAGATCGAAATGAGCGTCTTAGCGGAGGAAAAAATTCGAACGTCACTCACGGTAGGTTAGCTATGACAACGTCAAACCTTGGCAAAGCCAGTCTCTTGAAATCACCCGTAACAACTTCCATATTTGAGGCTCCTCTGAAAGCATGCCATAATCATTTTACGAGAATTGATAAGCTAACTTCATCTCCGCACGTCTTTCAACCTCCTTAGCCAACCCTTCGTTAACTTCCATTGCCACCACTCGATTCGCCAGCTCGCTCAGTTTGACGCTCATATTCCCTGTTCCCGGACCCATCTCCAGAACAGTGTCTGAAGGTCGAATTCTAGCCGCCTGAAGATGACACAAGTTCATATTTTCCTGTGAGTTTCACAGCTCTCTGCGACGCGTATTGGCATCAGCAACACATCAACACTCTGGGCATCCGATGACGTAATCCCGATCATAAACACAGTCATCATTGACTCAAGACGGCTCGAACAATGAGTCGACTTTTACCAGTAGTATTCTAGTGATAATGTCCTCATTCTGCAGCAAGTGGCCGCCTCGATTCCTATACATAACTAGCGCGCTATGAGGATGCATGATGGTTTTTTGCAATGGAGCCGGCTTCGAGCTGTAGACCCCTCGCAGCGGACGATGCACTCGAGGATGCTGGCGTATAAACATCAGAAACCACACAACTGTGGTGGCCAGACACACTCCTGCAGCGACATCTATTCCTGTGTTCCTCAGCGGATGTTCACCACAGCCTGATGAACAACCCCAAGTCACTTCCAAGGTTAAGTTGGCAGCAACCCTATGAAGGTGAGAAGGTCAGTGACTTCTCGCTTCCACAACTAACTTGCGCTCGCCCGTAGACTATTCAGAAATATATTTGGCAAACGGGGCCGCTATGCCATTGGACTATATCATTTAGGAATATATCGAGCGCAAGGGGCCACTATGCCCGCGGACTCTATCGTTCAGAAATATATTTGGCAAACGGGGCCGCTATGCCATTGGACTATATCATTTAGGAATATATCGAGCGCAAGGGGCCACTATGCCCGCGGACTCTATCGTTCAGAAATATATTTGGCGAACGGGGCCGCTATGCCACGGGACTACACCATTTAGAAACACATCGAGCGCAAGGGACCACTATGCCCGCGGACTCTACCGTTCAGAAATATATTTGGCGAACGGGGCCGCTATGCCACTGGACTATACCATTTAGGAATATATCGAGCGCAAGGGGCCACTATGCCCGCGGACTCTACCGTTCAGAAAGGTATTTGGCGAAGTAGGCTGCTATGCCAGTGGGCTATATCATCTTCAAACCTATCCAGCGAGTGGGGCCGCTATGCCGGTGGAATACACCGACCAGGAAGGTATTTGGTGGATGGGGCAGCTATGCCAGCGGTCTACGATCCCACATACGAATGTAGAGATATCAACTCCAAAGATTGAGCTTGCCTCCAGGTCTCGACAGAAATTCCCCGCGTCGACATCTATAGCCCATGAGATAACTCCGGCGATTTATGGAAGCAATTAGAGGTATCATTCACGTACAACTTTAGTTCTCAATCTTAAACGTGCGATCCTACGGCCGGGACGACCCTCTTCACCAAATAGATGGTATGGAACCTCCAAAAGATTCCCCCCGAGCTAAATCGAACAACAATACTAGAAATGAAACTCACGGCATGCATTGAGTGCTGTTACACGTTACTACGTTCGACACAGTAACGATAATCCCTTGCAAAGGGACGGTAAACGTAAAAGGGATACCCATCATCACCTGAACAGCAATGACGATGCCTCGTGCCATCCCCTGAACCGACCTGTGAAGGATCTCTTGAACTCGCCAGTGCTACAGAAGACCAGTTCATCCTCGACCAACTCCTCACATGAGGTTACATACTGGTCGCAAATGAATACCTAGCGGAGAACTAGTACAGCTGAGCTGAACTTAGCGCGGTGACGCACAGCATTGGGCGGGGCGTGAAGTTGTAACATATGGTCTAGCCCCCAGATGACCGGCTGAACCTCCTGTGACACGGGACAAAGATGAGCTTGTTGCGCAATGGCTCGGAAAAACTGACAGTTCATCACACTTCATAAAAATATAACGGACTAGTGTTACTTCTCTGTTCGTGATCATTTGCCTCTCCTCCTTTGTACCAGCCCTTGTGCTTTCTAGTTGTCTTACGATGCAGTTGCTGTATAGTTTACGACATACCTACAAAATTATCTCATACCACTCATCGAAAACAACATGGAGACCTAGATTTGTCACTACGCTGTGAAGCCGTCTACGGAGAATTGAATGCAATGAGGAACCTAGCAACCCTACCTCACTTTTTGTAATCTTCCGAACACAGATAATACTGTGCGCAGGACATATACACACATTATTATATTGACAGGAATGGTAACGATACGCGAGGCTAAGGACCTCGATGGGCGTGGCAGTTCCATTTCTTCACGTGTCACTACGTCTAGAGGTATCCATTAGACGCAGCAATGATGGCCGATCGATAAACCGTCCGGGCATACCAGGTTGAAGGATGCTTACGATCAGTCGTAACACACGTCGAACACACGCCTCACATCTGGCGACCGGAACGCAATGAAGTCCGCTTTGTTGGAGAGGTCGCTTCCGTGCTCCTCGACAACTTGTCCTCCCAAATCCATACGTATCCTCACCGGGTTGGAGCACATATGAACGCCCTTGAATTTTTCTGAGGTACACCACTAAACCCGCGAGAAACCGAGCCACCATACTTGCAATCCTCTCCGTGAGATAGTCCCCAAGGGCAGGAATCGGCAGGAGACCTCCGATGCCAGCAGGATCGTCCGGGCCGGGTACGAATACAAGCTGGGAGTTGGCCATAGTTTCTGAAAATGGACAGTAGAGGGATCGAACCAGGAACCTCGGGCATGTGCAATCCACATCATTCCTAATCTTACTCGGGTATTGTTCCAATTCTTCCGATAACCGAGCCCAGCATGCTCTATAATCTCTGACACTTTTCGCTGACTGACAGAAAAGCCAATGCCACTACTATACCCACTCATCCTTCATTCTATTATAGAATTTCTATAGCTTCTCATACCAAGTATGGTAGAGCTAATTCTAATAGTATATTCTAAAAACGAATCGAGAAATTCCGGACCAGAATTCTGACGGGGGGATTTTGCAATAATCCTCATTTAACTCACTTCGCGAATCATCAATAGCCGAAAAATTCCAATCCATGTAATACCTTCATATTGACAGGCTTCTTGGTGAAGTTGCCCATGAAAACATACACTGCTGGAGGCGGCTGATCCATCCTCTCAAAGCCGAAGAGAATATCGGCCAATTTTTCCAAGGTATCATCGTCATCCAAATGGACCTGAAAAGACACCTCCCTATTGCCAGAGCTACTAATGACACGATTTACTTCGCCCATGACCACCACCATGAGGTCCTCGGCCGACTCAAGGCCAGGTTGGCCGATCTCGGAGATCTCGAGCAAGCCGGTATGGTTACCGAGCTGATTGTCTCTGGCCGTCGCACCAAAGATGTCTATGGTGGGGTCGCAGAACTTCCGTGAAACTACCTCGGGAAGAGAACGACGATATGTATTTGTTAGATTTGTTAGCCATGCTCTTTCGTATCAGATCACGAACGTCAATTGAACATGAAAAATGATGGCAATCTAGCTACAACTACGGGCAGATATTGCTTTTTCACTAAACCGTCCGTCCTCAACAGGAGATCTAATGCATTAAGATCATACTGGCTGGTAGCTATAGGTTACTCTTAGGAGGCATCTTCATCTCAAGTACGTGAAAGATCCCGTCACCCAAGTCGGACATTTCTCCTTTCAGAAGCACCTACGGTAGCCAATGCATAAAGAGAATGGATCGATACTCCTACGAAGCTCGCATCCACAACGATGAGCTCGCTACTCGGCACACACTGAGAGAAATCTAACTTGACATTCTGGTGAATATCCTCAATCTGCAATGACCCCTCAGATGCTCTCGAGAGAAGACCGAATACGAACTGAAGAAAGTCGTCTCGACAAGCCTCAAATCAGCTTGCAAGAATATACTCACTTTAACACCCGCGTTGCCCGGCAAATTCTCAACGGCAGTTATTACAATACGCTCGCTAGTACCCGGATTGAGGAGTGACTGCTCTTCTGGCTTCGGGGGCTCCTCAATGCAAATGTCCTAGACAAAACGCTCAATATGAAATATTCCTAGTAGGAGCTAAATCTTGTTGGATCATATATGATGGAAAGTTATATAGTCACATCAAAAGAACTGAATGCTGCAGTTCTCATTGAGAAGTACTTCAACATCAGGATTGATGCTGATTCTCTCCATCATTCCTCCCGTCGATGCCTGGAAAACGTCCCCCAGGCCCTTGACACGGATCTGTAGTAATATATTCGATCAAGTTGAGATCCTACTCCTAACCTTGGGCATTTTAGATCCCTCCGAAGCGATTTTTTCCATTGCCAAATCCACGTACGTAGGATTACCGGACGATTCTGATAGGAGATATGAACAAGCTTGCTCACCAGAGCCGTACGCCAGAGAGCTTTCCGAAGGGCCAGGAACCTCTCCCGATACATCGCAGAATGTTCTGGCGCGCCACCCATCACTGAGGGCAGCTTACGAGCCGGCACCTAGCGGAAGACGATGCGAGCCCTTAGAGTCAATGGCATTACGAACTGCTGGGCATCCTGAGCGTTGGTGTACCGTAAACCTGCTCTAACAGGACCACCAAGAGAGCCATAGGCATCGATGAGGCGAATGCACGCGGGTCGAGAAGATGAGGAGACTCCGTCTAATGGCATTACTCGGGCTCCCTTATTGACACTCATGTTGGAGTCACTTGCGACAACACAACACTCAGACACGATGGGAGACGCTTCCCTGTGGGAACAGGATTATACACCTCTGACATGGTAGATGATTATACGAATCACAAGAGAAACGTTCATGAATAAAACCAGTCATACAAGTAGTCAGACCCTATAGATAAACGCGTGAAACAATGGTATGTAGTATTCACGTACTGCACAGCCATAGAAAGCCGTTGAATTCGAAGAAGTTCAACACGGAGAACCGTTCAAGTCGGCATGGAGACACCGTTGAGGAGCACTGAGTCATAACAAGAGCGCAAGATATCACCTTAGATTAGTATGAATTGCTCTCCGTCAGTCTCCAATGCATCGGTTCTACGAAATGATGGAGATCTGTCGAAATTTGGTTGATTTTTTGTCTATTTCTTCTCATTGGGTTCAATATTACACTTTAGAACATCTAGTTTGTTCTTGGATCCATCTACTTCGGCGAGACGCGCTAATTCGGTGGTTCGAATCCGAAATTAAAAACGCAAATACGCGTCTCGAACTTTCAGTTTTACTATCTTCGAACTTTGAAGTACGTCCAATATGAATAGGAAGTTTAATTTAGTGTGAATAGTCGGACATTTCAATTTGGATGATATTCGAACCTTCGGTTTTCGTCTCGGAGGCATGTGTTGAGAGTCCCAACATATCCCGACTTGGGACTTATGTTCCCTTTCCTCAGCTCAGTCCGGAGATTTCCTCACACTTTATGGGAGTTTACATACAAATTCTCTCACAACTGCACAGAAACCAACGAGAATTCCCTCCAAACTCCTCTCAACTTTCTTACTGTTACCAGCACGTGTAATTGACCATGTGTTTATTCCCCCACACTGTACGGAAGAGAAACAATGCGATTTCTTGACTTTTGTATTACTTCCAAGTACATCTAAGGTAAATTGGAAATTCAATTTCGTGTAAATATTCGGCCATTCCAATTTGGATAATTTATTACCGTCGACAGTTTTGCCTCGGATTCGTGTCTTTGGGGAAATCGAACGTTATGGGGCCGCTATGCCACTGCTACGATCCGAAACAAAGATTCTTCCGTAGACCCTATCGGATCTGGTCGTATCATTGGATGTGCTCGATAGTGAACCGTAAAGCTGTTGGTTTCGCGAACCCCAATGAAATTGATGGTTCCAATGACGAACTAGATGTCCGGAAGCTGTTGAAATACGCCAGTGCTCAGATAGCCTGATCCCTGAGTATACCCAACTGATCGCGGGTGCACTCAAGGCGCAGCGCACCTTGTGCATGAGAATTCCACGAGTTCATACAAGATTTCTTGGATGGCTCCGGTACTTGGCAGATTTCGGAAAGACGAAAGTTACAGTATCATCTGAGCAGGGTTTTATGTGTCAGAAAGTGCCATGTTGCCTAACTCAAATTTAACTTGCTATCAGCCGACTCAACTGAAGGTGAAAAACGTCTCTTACGAGCAGGTGAGAATTATGGGAACTACCACTCACTGCATTGCATTCTGTTTGTCTCCAGAATTCAACGATGAAAGCTCTAGCTCGACAACCTAGGAGGAATCTCATCTCTTCTTATCCACAGCTCGTAAGCAGGATCTGAGCTCGACACAGTATCTGAACACGATCATAACAATCGCAGGACTTGCCCAAGATGCCACGATCTGAATGCTGCCGGTTGATCCACGAGTTCAAGGAACGCCAATGGCTCGCCTCACGAGGTCCTTCAGTTTTAGCGTTGATTCAGCCCCATTCTGGACTGCTGTGGACTTCGGTTTGAATCTGAGTGAATTGCTGGTCTTGTCTGACTCACTCTGAGGCCTCCATTCGCAAGCTCGAAAGAAGGAGCTCTATGAGCCTCATAGCATGGGGCATCCTGGGAGTTTCTCGCGAATGTTTCGGCCTAAATCGCGCAACTTCCACATGAGGTTCCTAACTTAGTTGGTCTCACGTAGATTCGGGTGTCTTTCGAAATCCGGGTGTTTGGTCGGGGGTGTTCCATTGAGTAGATCGGCTGCTGTTATGGGTAGGTCGAGGGTGTATGATTGATTTTGATGACCAAGAACGGAAGATGCTTCGAACGTATTTTGATGCTCTTGACGATGACGGTTCCGGATCTATAGATGTCAGTGAACTCGAGGAGGTCAGTGCGGACGTTTCTGCTGGAGGGTCGAATCAAAACGATGACACAGCTTCACTCAGTAGTCGTTCGATCTTCTATTTGAGCCTGTTTCGGTTGGATGCCCGTATCGTTAAGGCGCCAGCTTAGGTTATGGTGGCCCTCGGACTGGCGGAAAAGTCCTCAGATGTGGAGAAAATGGTTGCTAATGTTGACGAAGATGGTTCTGGGGAAATCGAATTTCACGAGTTCCTCAGCATAGTAATAGTCACTCTTTTGAGTGCCTTCACGTCATTGCTGACTATTAGTTACGTAGAGGTCACCAGTCGAGTGATCCGAGTTCAGCTGCAATGTTTAAGGTCTGAATTTTATGATCTTTCAGCTTGATAGGTTTTCTTCTTAGGTGTTCAAATCTTTGATTCGTGGCGACCTCGGCGACACCGAAAACATTGGCTTCAAGCTCCTCACGTCTGCGTATCGACGGAAGAGAATTATGGATGCAATGATGGGGAAGAAGGAGTCGGCTCAGCAGGTGAATGAATTTCTAGGAATAGATCAGCTTCGCATAACTCTTTAGTTCAACGACATACGTCTTATAACTCGGCTTTCTCTGATGAACGGCCGCAAGTTTGCCGCAGCTCACTCGATTTCTCGAGAATCGTTTTTGTGATGCCCCTGTTAGAGTCGTTGAGGAGAAGTGTTGCATCAAAAATTACGCCCAGACTGCGTTGGGTGCGTATCATATTATCTCCAACGCGGCTAGGTTAGAAAATGCATATTCGCCAATCCAGGTCCAAGGGATGCGCATCCTAAGAGCCTTTGAAAGGCAACTGAATGAGTCTAGGCATTCAAATCAATCCATAAATTCCCAAAAAGTGAGTCTCTAGTGATCTTTGATAGCCAACTGTACTTGTCGCAGAGTGAACAGGAGTGTACTGTCAAAAACTCTCCCCGACAACAGGTGATGCCCTCACTTTATGTGCAGCATTAATTTCAACGTGTCAGCGCCTCTACGTTGCACCCTTACGATTAGCGGGGTCGACTCGTCCTCATCGACGTGATCTGGTGCAAGTTCTCAAAAACTATGATCTTAAGATGTCTTGAACATATGGTCCTAAACTCTTCAAGCCAGAAATGGACATATGTCTAGTGTTTATATCTGCCCGTCGTGTGTTTTGAAACGTATTCACTTTTATTATATTAATCTCGTTGTGTTAAGGACTTGAAGTTAGTCGAATTAGAATATCTGTGGAAGTTTAAGTGTAGTCCTTCGATCCTGGTAATGCCAGCATATTCACCAATAACAACCCAGCAAATGAGGCCACCACCAAACCCGGCATGCACCACATGTATTTGCGAGGATTCTTTCCCGGATTAGGCATGACACTGTCGGCGGGCTGTCCATCCTCGTAGACGTTCCGTGGTCGTTTGCCTGCTTCACGTGAACACTGGTCATTTACATTACACTGGGTAGGACACATCAGGCATTCATGCGATTATCCACCGTTTTAGATGGTCAGGACGCTCATCCCCTTAGCAAAGGTGCACATGATTGGCCTTTGAATCTCACCGCCTTTCTTATCTCATAGTATCAACATATTTACCATGTTATATGGAGAATAAGTATATGATGTATTATACATCATTCGTCGTACTCGAGAATTCCTCATCGGCTCAACACAGAGAGACTCGCTACTGAATGTCTGCGGCAGGCTGC